TTTATTTATTAATAATAATAACATTAAAAAGTAACCAGAGTTGGAAAGTTTATGAACAAACTTTAAGTTGGCTTGATGAAGCCATTGCTAAAGAAATCCCAAGTGGTCGCTATGGTGTCACTAGACCGTTGCTATGTTATCCCGGAAAGCTGCTAATATGTTGCTAGGCCATTGCATAATGTCAAGCCAACTTTATTATGTTACAACACAAGTTTTTGATCAATTTGTCACATCCCTGATAAGTATTTATCTGGGACAAACCTTCTAAAAATCTTAATGGCAACAGAAAACAATAATAACCTTCAGACCATCAGAAAAAGCTTGGAAAGGCTTAAGTAAATCTTTATTTTGACTTTCCCAAAGATAATAACTGGTTTCTCCAAAAATATATAATATATAATATATAAAATATAATATTTGCACTCATATACATAGACGCTGCCCAATGTGGACCATGGTTTGATAAGAAATTCACGGGTACATTTTATAGCACTGGTTTATCGGCGCTACCATGGCAACAGACATACTGCATTATGTACATTTTCTGTCTGCATCACTGATTTTGTAGTCTGTGACAGCACATTAAACCCCTCACTGTGAATTACCCCAGTTAACCCTGCAAAATCATTGTATATGTATCATGTTTTGTAGTTGTAAACCTACAGACCATTAAAAACATCTTTCTCTGCATGTTATAAAATACTGCAATGAAAACAGATATGCATTGCTGCTGAGATCTAGAAACATGTCACAATGGTTAACCTCTGAGATGAAAAATACAAAAGAAAATAATTGTATCCATACAATTAAGAGGGCATTCTGGCCTAAAACTAGAATTTAATATGTTATTTAGCATTCAAAGTGCAGCACTATATCCCTCATCTTCATCCTCATCTGTCTGAAAGAATTCACAATTTTATATTGTTTTCATTTTTTCGTTCATCAGTATTCTCTCACTACTACACCCAGCATGCATTACACAAATACAACCATTGGAAATACCTGTGATGTCAGCCAATCTTGACTGCTATCCAAGCCACTGATCTACAGGCTAATAAATACAACTAAGCTAGCTAGTGCAATTCTTTTCTCAGTCATCGAACAAAACTGTAAAGTGAGATAAAGTAGGGTATCTAGATCTAGGTTACCTTGTACAAGCTACCTTGTGATCTTCAACATCTGCTGAGTAATTTCTGTCATTTGAGTAATCAATTCTTTCAACTACAGTGATGATTTGAAGGTAGCATACCATGTGTATGAAATTCTAACCTCGCAAGATTACACATTTTCAGTGCCCATTCATGGCATGAATTTTAGTGATCACCATATATTACTGCATCTTATACCTCCAGACTGTGCCTAATGCCAAGATCTATAAATTAACCATAGCTCCTAATAGCTTTCTAGTTGTTAGCAGATCTGTCATTACCCACAGACACAGGCCTGTTGACATGCCACAAATTACAAATCAGATCAATTCATCTCTAATAAGATGCTCCACTTTTCTTTCCTTTCATATTCACTCATGGAGATCCATTTCACATTCCCACCAAAACATCATTCCAGTGTATATTTATATTCCTTGCTGTAAGATGTTGGAATAATAAAATTCAATGCTTCAGCCCTTTTGAGCATTTGGGTTAAGCTATAGTCAGTGACGGTCTTTATGAGGAGAGCTGTTTTTTGATTCCTGAGAATCAGTGCATGGCATACAGCAGATCTGATGTCTGAAGATGAATCTAACACATTAAATTGTGTAGTGGTATAATGTTGTGGGTGGGGGTAGTGGGTAACACTCCAATGCTGTAGACTGGAATTCAATCCCCTGGCCAGTTAAAGACCCTACGATTGGGCAAGACTATTAACACTATGTTAGCTTACCACTGTAAAGTGATCAAATTGTGAGACTCTCTGCCAAATGTCACAAATGTAGTGGTATTTTGAAAATGTCCCATCTTGGTCACTCGGAACCGTATTCAAGTTCCCTATTGTCTCTGGTCAGCCTTTTTGTGTATCCTTTACAAAAAAAGTACTACACTAGTAATCCAGTAGTTAATGAAGCACTCAGGATATGGACTCAGTTTACCGCCAACTCTTATTTCCCTCCCTCATAGATTCAGCAGAGATGGTCCAGGAGGGACGCTTACTTGACTTTTTTAAGGATGACACGTTTATGTCATTTGACCAATTGAAAAGAGAATACAGCATTCCACAATCCGACTGGTTCAGGTACTTAGAGGCAAGAAATTACCCTACATATTCTGTATCTGTGACCTAACAAAACAACTGGGTGGATCAGTGCCTATAATTTCGACTCATTAACTGGAAGCATGATGTCTAATCTAAATAACACCATCCATAGAGTGGCCTCTCCTACTCTCTGTCATTTGAAGTTGCAGTGGGAAGAAGATCTAGATTGTGAAGATTTAGATTGACAAGCAGTTATGGTGAAAATACACTCATCTTCAATATGTGTCAGGCATGGTTATTACATTCTAAAGTGCTACATCATTTACATTGTCTCTGGGGCTAAATTGGCCAGGTTATTATATATTAGATGCCATCAAGCTCCTGCAACCTTGGGTCACATGTTCTGGACATATCCTGAACTTGTTCAGTTTTGGTTGAATATTTTTGACACCTTTTTTTCCATATATGCAATAGAATTGTTAACCCTAAACCCACTGATGGCACTGTTTGGAGTAGTCTCAGGGAAAACTTCTTTATCTGCAGTGCATGATAAAGACTGACAGACATTTTTGCAGTATTTTCTGGATGAATTTCACCCTAACTTGACTACAGAATTATGTCCCGTGGTCTGTACAAATTAGAGTTTTTTTTTTTTCTTAGAACCATACGGCCGAGCTAAGAACCATTTAGGAACCTTTATTTGTAAGAATGAAGACCAGCACAGTAGCAAGGAGAGTCTAATATCTCTATTTTAATGTCTCTTCTTTGCACCCTGAATACAATGTATTATACAATGCATTCAGTATGTAGTCTTATCAGCAATCTTAAAGGAAACAATCTTAATGGTGATGGTTCATCAAACTAGAACTTTGGAAGTGATGCTATAAGGTTTAAATAAAGTTTACCAGATTTTTTTTTACCATATTAAAGAGATGGACACAAATGATCTTTCCAATGTTAGACACTGAGGTTAAGGTCATACCCATGGATGGTGCTGCATGTTTGTTGTGAATGAATGTTCATATTGATTGAGAGGACATGCCTTTGCAGGATTATCATGGGAATTCAATACATGGGAAATCAATTCCCATACCAGGCATTTGATAATGGGAAACTACCATAAATCACGTTTCCCGTGATACCAGTGTTATATAAGGAGCTTGCCTGGACACATGACTGGGTCATTCTCATGTAAAATTGTCAGGCCAGGACGTAATAAATGAAGCTGCGGCTCCCCAAAGGACTACGAGTCTGGTAGCTTGTAGCCATTAGTCTGTGGCTGGCTGACTGAGGAACACGCACAGCCATACACAGTAGGTTAGACAAAGTAACGTGCCAACTCTCAAAAATAAACTGACAGCACAGCTGTCCCTATAGAGGGCCGTGGCTTTCAAAGCAAAGTATCTTATTATATCTATGTTTGAGAGTGAGAGTTGTCCATCAAAAGAAGAGATGGTAATGTTTTACCATTCCAAAAGATATTAAGTCCAAGATGTCCTTCCTCTACCTAATCACATGCTATAGCTACCACATCAAAAACACTTTTTTGGTCAATTCCACCAACTTTTCCACCAATAAGATGTAAATAGTCATTAAGATGGTTTCATGTGAGATGCTCCATTTTAGAGAAACTTACCGAGTCAGAATTATTTACAGTGGTCGTGACAGGTACTAGTTGGCCAAAGAGTTTAATACCTCTGAAAGCTGCTTCACATAAATTATTAATATTAAGCGGTTATGAATATGTTGGTCATGAGGCATTGTTTTGTAAGAGTTTTGAGATAATCCTTTGGTACAAAACCTATTTTTAAAAGATATTCATAGCAGAAAGGTACATGCAGAAAGCAGTAATGCAAAACAGTACCTAAAGAAAACTTATTTTTATTTTTTACCAGTATTTTACCATTATTAATATTAACAATATATATATAATTGAGAAGACAAGTGTAGGTTCATTGGTTGTTTTGGATGGAAAATAAAATGGCTATATTTGTGTTGTAGACATCACAACCTCTGGTTCCCATCACCACCACTGTAAAGAAATCTGAATCTGCAAGTTTCTCTACAATGAACTGTAATACATCAAACCCCTCTGAATGACTTTTGAAACATCGGTGGAAATTCCTTTAAAACCTGGACAAGCATGGCGAGTGTACCAGCTGGCAAATTCAGTCAGTCGTTCCTGCCCACGAATTAAGCAGACCAAAACCTTGAAGCAGAACAGCAATCCAAAACATTCTCCAACCTGAAGAGGAATTGTCTCGACCTGAACCTTATGGCTTATTGAAGACTCAAGGCAAAAGCCCTCGAAACAAGGAGGAACTGGAAATTGCTACACTGCAGATCTGGTGGAGCATCACCAGGGAAGGGGGAGATGCCTGGGGGTTACGGAATTCATGCGGTCATTGACTGCAAAAGATTATAGTAATCAATCCCATTATTAATGGTCCCCTGGAATGGGGGGTATATCTAAAAAGGATGTGAATCCTACATTGTTCACCCAAAAGTAAAGATAAATTCAAAATAAAGCTGAACTCGAGTTATTATTTCATTTCAAATCCAACGTGCAGTTCTAGAGTGAAACAAAAATTGCAATTACCCAATTACACTACACTGTACTAGAAGTACTTAACGAGAAAAAAAATCCCTTACTGTTGCAATAAAACGTTACATATTTGCAATGAACACAACCAAGTGCTAAAGCGTGTAGTCTTCAATACTGCATGAAAAAACTCTGTTAGTAGCTCCGTAGATATGCATGCAGAAATCGAACACTCTCTTGTCATCTAAATCGATACACAGCTTCTTACCCAGTGGACAGCTGATGATCCACAGAGGAGCGATAAAAACACCAAACAGGGTGGTGATCATGGACATCTTTGATCACCGCGTTTGAGTAAAATGTGAGGCAGAAACTCCTAACGCAAAAAACGCCGTTTTGCATATAAGGGTGCTACACTCTGTTCATGTTGTATCTCTCTCTCAATTTTCCACGGCTCTCGGCGATGACGGTTCAGACCCAGAGGGGCGTTCTTTTCTCCACCCGTATTCCGACAGGACCCCGCCTACTGTGTTGTGACTGGCTAGTAGCATCGCGCCTCTCACGCTGGTATTGGCTAATATTATCAATAGATTTGCATTAGGGGCTGTAGGTCACTTAGAGGAATCCTAAACTGAGTGACGTTTCTTTACTTTAACGAAGTAAACGATTAGTATCAAAAACAGCAAACCTTTAACATTAGTATTATTTGTAGTACAGTAGTATGTGGTTTTGGAAATAGCCAGGGTTTGTTAATGAGCTGATTAGTTGAATCAGGTGGTTTGTAGCAGGGATAAGACTAAGTGTGCAGGTGAGGTGAACTCCAGGACAAGGGCTGGAAAACACTGCATACTGCAGTTTTTGTGTATTCTGTTTTGGGTTTCTTTTGGTCGAAAATAAAATGCTAAAGCTTGAGATCGAGAGATGTGAGCAAGAGAGAAATAGTTAAGAGAGCTGTCACCAAAAGGAGTAAGAAATATGCATTGATGCCTAATATGCAGTTGGTCTTCTGCATGCCTGCAAAACAGCTCTCAGATGCATAGACTCTACAAAACCTCTGAAGCTGCCCTACCTGGCACCAGGACATTAGAGGAGGGGTGCACAACTCCTGTCCTGGAGGGCTGGTGTCCAGCACCATTTGGTTATTTATTTGGTTATATTCTGTACATTGTCGAGCCGCTGCGGACTGGATGTGATCGAGATCTGGGCAATTTGGAGGCCAGGGCAACACCATGAACTATCGATACCGATACTGGTATTGGGTACTGGCCCGACACCATGTTTATTTACTCATACTCAATCTCATTAAAATGCACTGATACTAACATCTAATACCAGCTAATACATGTGATGTAAGCCTAGTGTACACTGCAGCGCTAGTGAACAAATGACTGAAACTGGCACTAAAGGAGGGTCTGCTCACAAAGAGAAGTGGACATCAGACACAAAGTCACTGGTCACTGTAGACTTTACTCTGATTGGCTGAATAGAATTATGAGGTATACATATTAATACAGTGAAAACTGTAAGTAAAATACGTAGAGAGACTGTACCCTTGAAGAATGAGCTGAAAGTTTGAGTGGTCCTGGTCACATAAACATGTATTGCTAATTTTCTATTCAAATTAAAAATAAGTCAACACATCCCCTGTAGAGAACACTTTTCCGCACATTTTAATGTGCAATCAGTGTTTATTTGCTGAATTACCATATTGGTGGAAAAAAAACATAAAATGTGACATGTACAAAGATTATAGTACATTTTAATGTTTTATTTTCTCCAATATGCTCCAGTTCTTCTATTGCTTCATTGCTTTTTCCATTTGCAGAAAATTGTCAAATTTAAGTGTGTTCTCTGTAGATTACTTATTTTCTTACTTATTTTCATTTAGAAAAACAAAACATAATTCGACAAGGGGTGTTGAAACTTGAATATGACTGTATGCTATCTTTTATGTTTTATATTAATGCCTTCTAACTCAAGCCTCAGAAACATGTTTAATGCCATTATCTGTCCCTTAATGCCAGTCTGTTTGCTGTCCTTTTGATCTTTTTACTGAATTGTGCAACTTGACACATGTGGAAAAGTTAACAATTTAGACAGGCAACTGAAAGTGCCTCAGTGCACACAAACATGCTGCTCCATGTTATCCCTTTGCATACATTTACATAATTTAACTGAGATTATCTCTAATTTATGCAGGATCTCTACTTCACTTCCTAAGGGAATTCCAAGGGCTTCTTTTGCATCTAGTAAAAGGCCATTGTATAGTCTGGCTAGTGCATCATGGCAGTTTTATGTGCGAAAGTTTGTACGTCTTTCCAGTTATAAAGTCTAAGAACCTGATTAACTTGTTTGGACCTTATTGACTTGTTAGGACTGGCCACCAGGAAATTCCAGAGCATAACAAATTGTCTGACTCTTCAAACCTTATGCTAACACTGAATGACCACGGTGTCTTCTAAGCATCTAACTGACAATCTAAAATGAAGCTTTTGTCAACAAATCAGGGGAATGCAGTAAAAAGATATCAGAGTGCCTCCAGCTTGCAATGTCCAAAATGTTGTTAAGAAAATGGCAGAACTTATGGAAGTCAAGGCAACATCTGGAAGACCAAGAAAACTCTCAGAAAGAACTACTTGTATGCTGGCAGGAAAAGCAAAACAAAACATACTAAAAACAAAGCAAAAATGCATTATAACGCACTCAAATAAAAAAGGTTTCGCTTATTCCAGTATCAGTGGAATTTAGTCGAATTCACATTAGATGATGATTCACAGTGTTTATCCTGATAGATAGGGCTAATTATGCAAACATTCTGTGTGTAGGACATTTCAATTACATAGTGTCGCACAATCTTCCAAAACAAGCTGTAGTCTCTAGTATCGTCCAATCCTAGAAAGCCATTTGTTTTCAGATTTGTTGTCTTAATATGCTTGTATGCTTTGTATAAAAAGAGAGCAAGCTGTGTTGCCATTGTTTATATTGCAGTAATGCATATAGCCATATTTACTGTACAGTATACTACTTTATAGCCACAGATATATTTAAATGTTTCTACAGATCTGCTACATTTTCACCCCTGAATCAACTGTATGCTTCTACAATGTGGCGTATTTTTGCATTGGGAGAGGGTCAGCCTTGGCCAGGGTTTTGTTACACATGCAGTCTCTCAATGTGGTTTGCCTGTTGCTAGGGAACTGAGGCATGCTGCCTGATTTGCACAGGCATTTCTTGATGCTCATTTATGCTACTTTTGATTAATATCTGATTAAATGCTCCAAACTTCATGCAATTAGTGTTCAAGATCATCAAGGCCTATGATCAGAACAGTCTAAATGAAAATGAACAGTGAAGGCTGAAAGCTGTAAATTCTAAAGAGACCCACTGTGCTGACCCACTGTACAGAGGACCTCTCTTTTGTCTTTCTTGCTGTCTGAAATGGCCAAAGAGAAAAAGTGACAATACTTTTTGCGACAATAAGGCAATTTTTCATAATTTTTTTTATTTAAAATGTGCCAGAATAAAGTGATATTTCGGATGAACTCAATAGTTGAAACAGTTACATAAAATATATACAGAGGCTAGCCCTCTCCCCTTGCAGTAATGCTCCACAACTTAAAAGCATACTTCAGTGGTGAAAATGTAGCACATCTGACTTTTGTTTATGTAATGAGATGAGCAAATATGAGGAATCTTTTTAAAAGAACCCCTACATAATGTAATGCTTTATTACCAGTTATGAACAAAATGAAAATGTATATTTCAGATTTACCACTATTACCAACACTACATATAAAAACTCAGGATACATGTGTAAGTCCACTAGTTTTTTGAATGGCAAATACAATGAATATACATTGCAACCCCTGGTTCCTATCACCACTGTTGTAAAGAAGTCTGAGTCAATAAGTTTCTCTAGAATTAACCATTTTACAACAAAGCACTCTAAATGACTTTGTTATCATGGCAACTATTCAGTTATACACAAAACAAAACAAAGCAAAGCAAAAAAGCAAAAAAGCAATTGAATTCCATTTAAAGGTTTTCACTAGATCTGTATGTCCAAACCAAGAACCATTTTGGAACCTTTATTTTCAAGGGTGCCCTGAGAATTAGATAACATGTGCTGGTCTATCACAGGCAGCAAGTATCTAACAAGTATCTTGCTCCTTTTTAAACCATAGACCATTTCTTCTCTTTAAAGTCTCTTTAAACCTGAAATCAAATTGGCCTCTTGTTAGTATATGCCCTTACTCATACTAAACATGATTCATCATATCATTTAACACACAAAATTTTTCTTTTCCTTTTCCACCAAAATGTAGTGACTGTCCAACTTTAAAATGTCTAGTGATCTTCGGCAATATCATTATGCACCAGAAGGAGAAAAATAATATTAACCAACAGCTTCATGTTTCAACTCACATGGCTTCTCTACCATGCGACAGTTTTCAATGGTTATTCCCCATTGGAGCGTCTGCTAAATGCTGTAAATGTAAATGTAAGACACAGACATTTTTTTGGGATAACACACTGTTAGAAAAAAATTAAATAACATAGCATTACTATATTAAAATGACATAAAAAGCAATGCCTTTTTTTTTCTTTGTACATAAAAATAAATAACCATCATTTCTATATGAATAAAAATGACATTAATACAACTATTGCCAAAAAACTGAACTGAAAAATAAAACTTTGTTGATGTAGCTGGACTGAACAAAGTGTGTCCTAGACTACTAAAGTCCTGTGCCACTGAGCTGGGGGCACCCCTACAGCACATTTTCAACCTAAGTCTGCGCTTGGGGAGGGTTCCCACACTGTGGAAGACATCATTCCAGTACTCAAGAGGGGGCGACCCAGTGAGCTCAATGACTTCAGGCCGGTCGCTCTAACATCACGTCATGAAGACCCTGGAGTGCCTGCTTCTACACCTTCTCAGACCCCAGGTTCGACTCGCAATGGACCCCCTGCAGTTCGCCTACAGGGAGAAAGTGGGAGTGGAGGATGAAATGCTATACTATATCTTATCTGGACAAGGGTGGTTGCACTGTAAGAGTCATGTTCTTTGATTTTTCCAGTGCCTTTAATACCATTCAGCCCCTCCAAATGAGAGATAAGCTGGTAAGTATGCAAATTAATCCGCACCTGGTCTGCTGGATTACTGACTACCTCACTGGCAGACCTCAGTATGTCAGGCTGAAGGACTGTACATCAGAGACTGTACTCAGCAGCACTGGAGCACCACAAGGGACTGTACTTTCCCCTTTTCTCTTTACACTGTACATCTCAGTTCAGTATAACTCTGAGACATGTCACATGCAGAAGTTTTTGGATGACACTGCCATTGTGGCTTGTGTAAGGGGAGGGCAGGAGGAGGAGTACAAGACCCTGGTGAAGGACTTTGTGGCATGGTGCCGTAGGAACAACCTGCTACTGTACACTTCCAAGACCAAGGAGATGGTAGTGGACAGTTA